GTTATTGCTGGCGGCGGCTCCGGCCCCGGGGGGCTCTGCTTTCATTTCTTTTTCCTGATCGCGGTTCAAATACAATGGGAGGAAATCACGCTTTAAAGAGACAGATGCCCGTTTTCTTTAACTGCACCCCTGGGGGCTCGGCGGGGCGAGCGGCAGCGTCGCGGCTCGATGGGGTGTTTAAAGGGGCAGAACGGGGCTCTCTGGAGCCGGGGCTGCGGGCTGCCAAGGCTTTCTCCTCCCTTATTATTTCTTTGCTAACGTTGGCTGGGTGGGCAACCTGAAAATCATCCCAAGGGCTGGGAAAAAATAAGCGCCTGGCTCTGTGCTCTGCCGCCTTCCCAGCCCCACACAGGACCAGAGCGACACTCACCATCCCTCTCCTTGCCCTCTCCTTCTCTTACATGTGTGTGCACATGCCTGCATGTGTTTGGACGGTGCTTTGAGATCCACAGGTAAAGATCCCCAAGCATTATTTTCCCACCCAGAGTTCAAACTCCTCAGCTCAGTCGTGTTTCATTTATATCCCCCGAGTGAACGTTCGCGGATGTTTGCTCCCCGCCATCCCCCAGTTCTTGTAACGTCCCCCAGTTCATTTGTTCATTTAACAAATTTATACCCTGACACCGTTTGATGCTAATGAGCGATAAAAGCCGGCGAGTACGAGGTATCGATCTGTAATTAATCACAGAGGAGCTAAAGATGGGAAAGTCTTGCCTGGATATCTCTGTTTTCCCTCCCACCCTTCCTCCTCTCCATCAGCACAGCACATCCCGGAAAGGACTGATTTGCAGCGTCGGAGTGAAAACTATTACAGCAAATCGAGCCTTTCCCAGTCTCTGTGGCATTAGATACTGGCCCTTGCTGGAGGCAGACTTCTGCATGAGATGAACTGCTTGCCCTGTTAATTCCTTTAAAAACAGTAAGAAAATATCTATAACAAAGCACTAGAGAGCAGTAGTAGAAACACTTTGCTTCTATTTTAATTCCCAGAAGAGAAATTCACTTGATGTCTATTTTTATGACTAGATTCTCGGGTTTTTTCAGCTTTTTGGCAGCTGGGGGTATAATATCTGCAATTTATTAATGAGCCAGATTCAAAGATTAGTAATGTCAGCAGAAGGACTGTTATTCCTTTCAAGGGTCTTTGAACCAAGCTCTTGCAATACTTTAGAGCCATCACTGGTCATTAGAACACATCTTTCTAATTCTTTAAACACATTATCTCCAATGTATTTTAAGCTATTACAGCATGACAGTCACTCTTATTTCTGTTAAAGGAAAAGGCTCTTTTGTGAGGTTTTCACAGACGGGATTGAATTATATGATGAATATTTAATTTCTGGTGTATTTACCCTGTGATCAGAAAAGTAAAATATAAATCTTTCCAGAAGACTGAATATTTAACTGCCAAAACAAAAATCTGCCAGGAATTTTACTTGGTTAAAAAAAATCAGAAATTAAATTTAAAGGTGGCTCAAAAACATCCATAAGGACATCAAATGTTAAAAAAAAATGAAGCCACTTCTAT